ATCTGAACTGTGTTCGGGGGCCGAACCAACTTTACTTAAAAATAAAATGAAACAGTGACGTTATGATTGTTTTTATTTTAAATTTGTTAATCTTCACAAATACTAAAGAGGTTTTTTTGTGGTATGTTAAAGATAAGCAACTGATTAACTTTAGACAAAAAGCTATTGGAGCGGCTCATGGGCCATATGTGGCCCTCAGGCCGCACTTTGCCCAGGTTTGCATTAGTACATGTTCCTCAATTGAGGGCTATTCAGCATTCCAGGCACCCTACAGATAACCACAGTATGCCACAGGTGACAGATCATCCAGGCAGATTTATCTCACAGGGTACTTCTACTGCTAGTTTCATATCCATTACCCGAGTCCAAAAGTAACAACTTGAAATAGTGGTGGTAGTGAGGACCTGTATCTCTGTCTGTCTCTCTCAGATTGTTTGGTAAACAATGCTCCCTGTGAAGAGCAGCTCAAACGTATCTAGCAGAGTTTCTTTGTTTGCACGTTTCTTTGGCCTTGAATATTCTTGAATGACTTCTGAACTGTGTGTTGCTCGGCTGCATCCCGTCCTCCCATCTCCCCTCTTATGACATCACTATCTCCCTTTGCTCCTTCTCAAACAGGAGTAGATAAACACAGGCTACTCTCCTAGGTCTCCTGCTCCTTGGGCAGGTACAGCTATCCCTTCCATGTGAGCCTGGAGACATTTCCAAAGCCTGCTCCTCCACCCTGCTTCTACTTAAGGAATGCTTTTAGAGAACATGGTCTTCAGATTTGGAGCAGCTTTTAGCAAGCTGCACAGTATAAGGTAGCTTTCTTTACAGAACCACTGACGTAACTACAGTGATACTGGGAAACCCATCCCTACTGCTCTTTACTGTATCCTCAGGCAGAACTGGGAAAATTACTTTTTTGGACTACAACTCCCAGAGTTCCTCCCGCTTCAGATTTATTTTGTGCCAACATGTCATTCAATGCTTTCACATAGCCATTTTCTGTGAGCCCAATATGAGCACCTCATACAGTGATCATTTGCATTTGCACAAGGCTTTTGTAACTTGTAAATAGTCAGATGAGTGACAGAGACTCCAACCAATGTCTGGGAAATTTATTTATTTATTTATTCGGCTTTTACCCTGCCCATCTAGATTCAACATTCAACAAATCTACCAAAATGCATGTAAGACATCGATCAGACTAATAAACAAAACTGGGCATTTTACTTTTGCTTACTTCTATGTGCTGTATGTTTTCAGAGACCAACTAGCAATCACATTTCTGCCAACATCGTATTTACTTCTGTTTGGCAACTAAACCAAATTAGGAGATAAAGAAAGCTAAAATGATTATTAGATCTTATGTTGAATCTTGCCTGAGATTCAATAACCGGGGAGGAGTTCCCTGGTAGAGCAATCAAGCAATCATTGTCTGGAGTGAAAATTAGCATGGAGTGGAATTTGGTTACCATCAAGAGGACCAGTAACTTAATTAAAAGTGATGTTTCTGCTCAAACTCTGCTTTATGCATTTCAGTAACATGATCAATTTAGGCATAGCCAAGTGATCTAGCAATCCAGAGCAGACATGCAAGGCAGTTGTAGTCTGAAATCTGACAATCATAGACAAAAGCATGTTTTCTTAGAAATGTTCCACTGACATTCATTAGGTTTGCTTCCAAAAAAGTAGGCTTAGTTTTGCAGCCTTAGACATCTCCATGAAAGAAATGGAAGATTCTTATCTCACTATTTTTTTGTTTCAAGTCAATTCTGACATATGGCAACCCTTTCCAGGATTTTCTTCTAGTTCTCAAAAGTGGGTTACCATTCCCTTCTTCTGGGGGATTCTCTGGGGCTGTGCAGCTTGCCCAAGGCCACATAGGCTGGGATGCACTATAGGGAACTGAACTTCTAACTACTCCCTCCACAGCCAGATACTCAACTCACTGAGCTATCTATCCATCCAGCTTCTTACCTCATTACCTTTGTAGCTGCGGTTCTGTTTTAAATCTTGTTAGCCTCCCAGAGTAGTGCCTTAGTACTAAATGGGTGGAGTATAAATGTAATGAATAAAATAAATAAAATAAAATTGCCAAGGACATATTCAAAGTTCCCCATAAGTAGGGAATTTTCAGATACTAATGTTTAAAATTAAAGTAACATGAATGATCACTGTGCAATTTCTCTCCAAGCCTCCTGCCAATGAATGATCTGAGCTGCACATCTCCTGCCTAAATGGAAGTAAGATGTTGGCATGGGGGGGGGGGAAGTAAGTCACAGATGTGAAAGAAACAGCAGTGGTTGTGTTGCTCTATTAGGAACAACTGGATGATTCCAGCCCGGTCTGAGAGCGTGGATCTTTGTCACACCGCCTGTCATTTTAAAGGTTTGTAGTGATGCTTCGTTTTACACTCATCTTTTACTTCACCATCTCCTCCTATCTTTCCCCACAACTAGAGTTGCCCCCAATAGTGTAGCAGAAAGGTGACAGTCAGGATTAAGCCCGCTCCTCCACTTTGCACCTCCACATGGGGCTCTCCCTCCTGCTACTATTTTTCATTTATTGCCTATCCTTTTTTTTAATTATAGAAGTATAAGATAGCAATTACATAACAAGCATCCAGTGTAAATAACATCGTCTGTTTTATGTTATTAATTGCAAGGTCTCTATATACTTATACTTTTCTCTAGATTTTTTTTCAGAATACTTCCCACTTGTGTGCCTTTAAAACATCCTCCAGTATCCACTTCTCAGGAAACAGACAGACAGACAGAATCTCCAGTTGTTGTTTCACTACATCTTCTGTCCTGCTTGTTCTAAAACCTGCTTGTTCCAAAATAATCTATTTTATAGGGTTTTTCTGAAGATAAACAAGATAGTATTACAGCAGTTTGTGCTGTACAGCAACTATGTACAGTATAAACACTAAAAGTTGTGTCATTTTACAGCACAAGGCTTTATATTTTCCTCCAAAGTACTGTATATACCCTGCTTGTTCACAGAATTATAACACATTTTGTGGAAATGTGAGATAACCCACACTTAATTAACAAAATAATAAAAAAATATTTTGCAAGCAATTTTGTGGTTCAAGAAGCAGCTCTTGTTCCTTTTTGGCTGTCACTCTATGCTCTGGGGGGCAAATGAAGCCCATTTTAACAGTGTGGAATGCAGCATTATTTAATCCTTTTCCATAATTTGCAGCAATGTAACCTAGGTCAGCAGGATTCACCAAAAATGGTGCTCATTTGACTATATTTCAGAAATGCCCATGTACCAATGCAAAGTACAAGTTTGACTTCTTTTTCTGCGTATTTTACAGATGTTATGCAATGCAAAATACATTGATGTGCTCTTCATATATCCAGAAGTCATATGGCTGTGGATAAGCACATTCCATTGGGCATGTTCCTGGGTCATTTAAAAAAAACGTCTTAACATTTGAGTACACATGCCTCTAACATGTTGGCTCCTGAAGCTAGGTCCTCAGCTGCTGGTGAAATTCCCAGAATCCTTGGCCACTGTCCAGGCTAGCTCCTCATCTGGGAGTTGAAGTCCAGCCATATCCATGGTCCTGCATTTCTGGACCACTGCTCTAATACTTGAACCTTCAAGAATGCTGATTCCGAAACAAAAGCACTAAGTTATGCTTTGCTGCATGACTCCCAAAGTGGAGTGTGTGGCAGGTTAATTGGGAGAACAAGGCTAATGCTGGGTGAGAGATATTGGAGGGAAGGAAGGCAGTAGGTTCTGGGAATATGGGAGATGCAGCATTTGACTTTAAGCTTGCAAATTATTTATGCTGTTGTTATAATTTGACTTCAAGCTTGCAAATTATTTATGCTGTTGTTATTTGGAATTGTCTATTCTCGCTCATATTCTAGGTGCGAAATGCCACTCTGAGGCTTTATCCAACCCAAACAATCTTTTCCCCCTTTTTCTCTTCTCAATGACAAGCATAAAGACTTGAGAGGTGCTATGCCATCTTATGTTTATGTGTAAATATGTAATGTTAGTGCCCTTATGTTTTGTGTTGCTGTTTATATATTGTGATGACCTATGGTTTTAAGCAATAAAGCTTGTTCTGTCAGTCCTCCTCTCATTGTATAATATTGCACCTTCCCATTTGCTGGGCTCCTTAACCAGACTTAATTTTGCACAGCCCTACTTTTCCAGTTCTCCATTACTGTTTGACACTAGTGCTGCTGGTCCATTTTGTTATGTGCAAGTTTTCACCGTCAACCAGATGGGTACAGTGAAACAACATGGGCGGGAAACAACAGAATAAAATTCAACAGGAATAAGTGAAAAGTACTGCACCTAGGAAAAAAAGCCCCAGACACAGTGTTACAAGATGGGGGATACCTGGCTCAGCAATATTATCATCTCCAAATCTCCAATATATCATCTTCAAATCTCACGAGGTACTTGTTCCCTTCTATTTGGTACTGGTTAGGCCTCATCTTGAGTATTGTGTCCAGTTCTGGTCACCACACTTCAAGAAGGTTGCTGACAAATTGGAATAAGCCCAGAGGAGGACAACAAGTCCTATGAAGAAAGACTGAAAGAACTGTGTATGTTTAGTCTTGAGAAAAGACTGAGGGGAGAGACATATAATAGCACTTTTTAAATACTTGAAAAGCTGTTATACAGAGGGGCAGGATCTGTTCTCAATCATCCCAGAGTGTGGGACATGCAACAATCGGTTCAAGTTACAGAAACGCAGATTGTGACTGAATATGAGGAAAAACCTCCTGTTAGAGCAGTACGACAGTGAAACCAATGACCTCAAGAGGTGCTGAGCACTCCAACACTGAAGGCATTCAAGGGAAACTTAGGACAACCACCTGGCAGATATCTTTTGATTTGTACTCCTGCATTGAGCAGGGGGTTGGACCCGATGGCCTTATACACCCCTTTCCAACTTCGTTAGTCTATGATTCTATGAACGTGTTTGATGAATACACTTAAATTGAAGTACATGTAAGGTACTACGGCAAATTGTAGGTTTTTACAAAATGACACGCTTTATTTATCTACAAGGCAGTACAGTGTATCATAAAAAGTTAAGTGCAGACAAGGCTGTACCTAATCCTATTAAGGCAGCAAAGTCAGAATCTGTAATAAGAAAGAAAAAAAGCAGCCTTCTTTTAGTATTGGGCAAAGCTTAGACACAGGCGTCTAGAAGACCATCCTCTTTTTTAAAAAAGGAACTCTGTCTCTACTTTGGCTTCTGTGGAATCCAAGGTAGGGCATATTTAGATTTAAACATGAGACAAAAATTGAATACATAAGCAAGACCGCCTTCTCCCAAATGTGTGAAGTCTGCATTCTTTCTTGTTGCAAACCTGTGAGAATGTATACATATATAGGCACGTAAAATCTCCCAAGAAGTGTTTCTAAGTGTTGCTTATTTTTTTAAAAAAATATGGGGGGAAAAAAGAAAAGAAAAAAAAGGTGGGGGAAGGGCAACAGGGAATGAAAAGATAAAAGGAGTACTTTTTCAAAAGTCAGAAATCCTAGTGCATAGCTAGTCCCCAGTTTCTTTTTTCTTTCATAAACCTCTGTGGCTCTTTAGTAGCTCATCTGCATGCTGTACATCTGTAGCAGCGAGAACAAAACAGAACAAAATGGAACACAACATCCACAGTATCCATTTGGCATTACAAAATTAAATTATAGAATAAAAAATATAATTTGTTCTCAAAACTATTTTTCATACAGTAATAATTTTAAAAAGCAAGCTAAGTGAGACAAGGACAAAACACACACACACACCAACAGTCTAGCACTCTAATGTGTGGGACAGTACTTCAAACGGCACGGCCGTGTCAGCATTCACTGTCTCATGATATGCCTCTAGCCTATACCTTTAGATTAGCATTTGCAGTAATGCTTTCTTGCAGTATTTTCTCCCAAGATGTTTGGTTCAATGATTCAGAATAAGCTACTGATCAGGTGCCAGCTCTTAAAAAGAGAAACGAGAAAACTTCAACAACCCTGAAAAGCATCTTCACTGGCATGGAAACTTCTGTAGCCACTCCTCACTGAATTAATACTGTTGCACTTGATCTCCCAAAAAAGTTCACTTGAAATCATATTTAAAAAATCAGTGTGTTTTTTTTAAAAAAAGAAGAGCATTCATATTATTATTATTTAATTGCATAAAATTCAGTACCTAATAATTTAGGTAAGTATCAGCAATAAAGAGAATTCTTTCTTTTTTTTTTAAAGTTGGGTAAATCCAACATGAATAATATATACATATATGCTTTTGTGACTATATGCACTTGGTGCTGCTCCCAAATGTTGTACCATAACAATAACAACAACAACAAACGACAAAAGGCTATTTTCCCATGTAGAGGAACAGTAAATCCAAATCAACTGGAAGTGTTTTGTAAAGAAAACATAATGCTTGATGGAGGACCCCTTTCACATAACCAGTGTTCGAGTTGAGAATGCATTCATATATTTGCGGGCTGGATCAGAGAAGGTCAGCTGATCCTCCGTCTTCCCACAGGAGGCTGAATCCCACGTGCTGGTAAAATGCTAAAAATAAGCAGAGAGGAAACTTAGAGAGGCAAGGTTTAAATGCACGACTTCCACTGCTTGTTAGCACTAGAACAAAACTTGCTGACTAGGCTGAAGGAAGGTGAAACCCAACAAGACCTTGGATAGAGACATTTCTCACAGTTTTGACCTCGTCTTTAGAACAAGAAACTTTGGCCAACCTTTGAACTTTTAAAATACAGGTATCCTGTAGAAACTCCTTTGTCAATCTAACAGATCAGCTGCACTTGTGACTGTTGTTCAAACAAAAGGAAGCCAAGAGAACACATACTGATTATGCATTTATTCCAATGTCTGAAGACTTCCGTCAAGATTAATCAAGGCAGTAAATCCTTCTTACTATCACAATTATTTCAGATGAGTTATTTTCAGTTCAAGGAAATTCATTCACATTTGCAAGTATATCATGAAGGCCTTTTCATACAAACTCCAGTACATTTGCACTTTAGTTTTAAAAAATAAGGTATGCATTGGAATGAAGATCCATTAACATGGACATGCTATAGGCACATGGTGGGCAGAAGCATCAGGAATTATTGGTAGATTGTTATGGATTTTAACATAATAACTGGCAAGTTTCCAAGCTCTATTCACAGCTAAGTCAACTTGAAACAGAGACATTCTACCATGGCTGGCACTTCTCTCTAAACCTCTGTGTCCTTCCACCTAGAAACTACAGGTATTTGTTATATGCCTTTGATCTAGTTTGCTTCTACCACCATATTTGAATTATCGGTTGTGCTTACTGAGACCCAGCTGCCTGGATGTTATGATCATTTAGGACCTATACAGGAGGACATGATTGTTTTCCAAGCATTTTCCAAGTCTTGTCTTCTCATGAGGTGCCCAAATTACAACAGCTTCAGTCTCATCAGTTTTGCTTCTAGGGCGAGTTCAAGCTTGATTTGATCTAAGGCCCACTTGTTTGCCTGTCTGGCAGATCAAGCTACCTGTAAAACATTCCTCCAAGACCATATTTCAAATGAATCTTTTTTTCCCTATTAGCTTCCTGCACAGGCTATCTTTCACATCTGTACATAGTGCTTACGAATAATATAGCATGGATGATCTTGGTATCAATTTAAGTGCCTTTGCATTTGATGATCTTTTCTAATTTCTCCACAGCTGCCCTTCTGTCTTCTTCTGACTCCTCAGCTGCAGTCTCCATTTGGACTGATGATTAAACTGAGATGCAAGAATTCTTCTAACATCTTCAATTTCTTCATTGTCAACATTAAAGTTATGTAGTTCTTTAGTTATAAATATTTTTTTTTACTTCAATCCTGCTTCTTCACTTTAACCTTCATCAGGAGTTGTTTCAAGTTGTTGTTCCTTCCAATGGAAAATGGTAAACCAAGACATGGTCAGTGCTGGGAACGCTCTGTTTAGAAAGGGACATTTTAGACAAAGACAAAGATCTTTATCTACCAAGCCCATTCACATCTCCTGTTTAGATGTGTGATTCTAATCCTATGTAACATGAGCTGCTGGTTTTAATATGATTTGACTATGTTTCACTGTTTTTGACATACTGTTGTTCTTTACAAAATTAGTTCGCTGCTCTTTGAGCCTTTGTTTGAAGTGTGGTGTGTGGAAAATATACAGAACAACTAAACAGGAAAGGAATACAAACAATATTTCAGAGCAGGTTAAGTGTAATAGTAGCACTATGAACTACTTTAGGAAGCATGCAACTATGTAGACTTGCTGGACTTGTGGGTTAAGTGTGAGATTATTTGTACAGCCTAGTCGCAGGTGATGATTCAGCTCACTTGACCTAAGACTCCAGTAACAAAACAGTTCAGCATTTAAAGGTACTTTCAATCATGTATTGGCACATAACCAAATGTAAATCTTCCACAGTGAAAAGTACTGCAAAAACAAGCTACTTCTTATGGTTAGGAAATGAACAGTTTTAACCATGACTTTGGACCATTTTGTTCTTGTGGTTATTGACAAAGGCTGGGAGACCTACTTAGCACATTGCTGCAAAGAGATAAACCTATCTACTCTGAGGGCTGTATCCAGGAGACATGTTTGTTCCTCAGACACGTGAAATATCTTTTAGTGCCTCAAGTGTAGTAAAAGTTTCAGTGCTCCATGGAATTTGTCAATACAGATATCCATTTCTTCCCCAGCACATTTTTAATGTGTTGCTTTGCTATCAGAACTATTCAGGTTGCTGAAGCCATTAAAGCCCTTTGCTAATATATGGAGCTAGCTACCCAAGGCCTCCATGCTCTGAAATAAACACAACTGTGTTACAATCACAACCAACAGAGTGTAAATTTATAAGTGAGTAAGTAAAGGAGAAGGTGACAGTGTCACACTGTGGGTAAAGTGATGGGCTAGGACGCAGAAGACTTGGGTTCAAATCCCTGCTTGGTCATGGAAAGTCACCAGGGTGTGTGTGGACCGGGTAAAGCTACTTCGTATATATCTCACATACTTCAAAAACTCTCATTAAGATTTGTCATAAATCGGATGTGACTTGATGGCACATAACCACAATATAAAAAAGACCACACAAATGCCAGACATCTATAAAGGAGGAAGTGATGAAGGAGATTTGCAGTCAGTTCCTTGCCTTTGTGAAAAACACATCAAAGCATAATGTATAGTAGGATGATGGGAACTACAGCCTTACCCACTAGGAGTCAGATCCTCCATTACATTCCATTGATGAAGTGAGCAGCTACTGTTTGAGCTAAATAACCATGACTTTGGACCATATGTTGTGAACATATCCAAGTTTTTTGCCGGTATATGCAAGCACAAGAGTTACCATCACTACCAAACATGGGGCTGTAAGGTTTTGAAGGCAAGAGCTTTTTTAAAATTTATAATACTCTGTCAAGTGCCATGAATACTGACAGGACACAATGTTATGTAAGCTGGTATACCATGGCTTAGGTTAACTCAACTAGGGGTTCATTTTACTTTACCATGTTTGTAACATTAACAAGCCTCTGGGTGAGATGAAAAATAAATTAATTAGCCCTGGTACTACTGGAGCTTCAGTTATATCTAAGCACGGGGTTGCATACATAACCAAGTTTCTAGCCAAGAACCATTAAACTGTTTCAGACAAGAAAGCTACATCTAGCATACATGTATAAACACGTAGTAAGGTAAAACAAAACTAAAATGTTTATGTCTTGATGGTTGTAGTTTTCTTGTGGCCCAGAAAATTTGAGATACACATGGTACATCACCAACACATGGAATTCAGTATCGCAGTTCGTCAAAGAGGAAAACAAATGATTCACATGGTGAAAGAGGCTGCCTATTAAGATGACTCTTCCAATGATAAAAGGACAGGATGTGACTAAAGTAATTTCTCTTTGATGCATATGCTTCTCATTCTCCATTAAGGACTTTGGGTCACGTTGAACAGTCCTCACACTGTGCAATCCATCTGATGCCCCCTCGAGAGCGATATTAAATCCATTTCGAAACTGCTGGGCCACTAAACTGAACAGGAATTATACGTCTGTAAGTTAGAGGGCATAGTATATCCCACTCCCTTAGATGTTATTCAAAGTGGGATATTGTGAATCACAGTTTAGAGGTGGTGTATTATACTTTTCACTTTACAAACATGCCACCCAGGACTGTCTGCTCTTTAGAGATTCAACAAGCATTGTCCACCTTTTTGGGAATCTTGCCACACTCTGGACAATGTTAATCGTTGGTAAAAGTCCAACAGCACAGGGGAGAGAGCAAGCGCTGTCAGGATGACCAAGCTATTTTCGTAAAATATGTCTGAGGAATTCTTGGAAGGATGAAGCTGCTGCCCCTTGGGAAAAAGCATGTGGGTAAAAAATTATGACTATGTTTTTCTATCAAAGGGCTGAGAAAAGTGGGTTTGAAGTCCCCTTGAGGTTCCAAATAATGTGGTGGACAGTCCTCCTTCAGATCTTTTAAATGCTAGTCTACATATACCTGCATCTCTATGGAAATTCATCTACATTTTATTTACACATATTGTATATTACTCTTTAGAACTATGGTTTACGTAATAATGTTTGTTGGTGACTCAGTACAACTTATTCTCAGGTGCAGGACTCCAGTGAACATGGCAGCCAGATTTTCTATGCTTTTGGTCACATTGTAATAATCAAACTAGAAGGAATATGCATGATAGATCATTTGGTAGACCTTTTAAATTCACCTTAGTTGCTCTTGATAAATATCTACTAAGCAGATCTAAAGAGAATGGTTTGCTTATGTAGAAGAGAGACATATGATCACTAAATTTTCAGATTTTGGACCCCAGCTCCCAGCATTTTCCAGGCAGAATTTGAGGAGTTTTAGCCCACATATCCACACTTACAGACACCTAAATTTTGTTTACTTGAACTGGGCCTACCTTGGAGGCTCCATGTCTGTCTCAGGCCTACTTCCTGTTATTAATGTATAAAAATGGAAGCTGCTATTGTGCTTTCTACATGTCACAGCTCTTCAGGTGTACTCTATAGAGCAGTGGTTCCCAAGATGGGTCTCCAGATGTTCTTGGGATACAATTCTCAGAAGAATTTCTAGGAGTTGCAGTCCAAAAACATCTGGGGAACCACTGCTCTATAGAATCTAAAGGGCAGCAAGACGACAGCTCTCATAAAGCACTGTGTTTATATTTTGTGTACATTAAAAATAGAGGAACAGAGCCTACAAGACAGAATCTGGTCCAGGTGAGCAAACTGTAGGTGTCTGTAAGTTTGGGCCTATAGATCAAACTCTCAAAATTCTATTGGGGGAATTCTGGGAAAACCCCAGGAGTTGGAGTCCAAATGGCACATCCTTAATAATTATAGCATGGAAAGCTCATTGGGCTTGGAGCCTCAACAAATCCATCTCTTGCTAGAATTCCAGAACTCCAATTTAAGTTTTAAAACACCAGCAAATCACAATTATGCAGTCTTATCTGAAATTGTTTTGTAGGTGTGACTGACAAAACCATTCCATTATGAATGTAAGAG